GAGTTTCCAGACAAAATGGAGAGACTTAGTGCTTACTGAGCTCACGAAGAATGTAAACAAACAGGGTGGGGCGCATTGACCGTATTAGAAAGTCAGGTGAGGGAGCCGTATAGCGAGTTTTGGTCATAATTTGAAATGACCGTATTAGCGGAACGCCGTAAAGTGAAACACCGTAAAGCAGGGCCCTGCTGTAATGTAAATATTTCCTACCTTAAATTCTCATTGTTGTTGTTGAAGGGGCTTAAATTCTGATTGTTGTTGTTGAAGGGGCTTAAATTCTGATTGTTGTTGTTGAAGGGGGTTAACATCAGTAGAGAGAGTTTCAGTGGCCCTACTGGACCAAGGTAGATGACCAGTGATCTTCTGATGAGGTGATGGCTGAGGTGGATGGCTGGGGGTTTTTGGGACGAGGTCAGTGCATAGTTGTCAGCAGAGGCATCCTCAGTGCTAAACTTTGTTATGAAACTACTGTGTACTCTTAAAATGATTACACCATCCATGATTAAAGGCACATTTGCTTGCAGGCTTTCTGATCTGCTCACGTGCTGTTTGATGGTACAATAGGGCTTTCTCATGAATCATAAGGAAATTCAGTGGGACACTTTTCTTTGTATTTTGCTGTTTTCAGTCATTCATCAGTTTGTTACTCGGCACAAACTCTTCTCATGGTTTCAAATTGAATGAATTCTTGATTATCTCACAGGTTGCATCCATTACACGTGCACCACCTTTGGGCTTCTTTATAACCTCAATTTTCTTCACTAGAGACATGGTCTCATGATTAAACTACTTGGCACCTTCACCAGCACTAGATTTATTTTTCGATTCCATGATTAATATCCAAATATGGTGGTGATGAAAAGAATGGAAAGATAGGAAGTGAAATGATAACACAGGAAAGAGCAATCATATAGTACATGTCCATCAGTCAACTGGTGGTGAAGAGGAGGGGGTTTAAAGATAGGAAATGAAATGATAACACAGGAAGGAGCAATCGTATAGTACACGTCCATCAGTCAACTGGTGGTGAAGAGGAGGGGGTGTAAACATCATGGAGTGATGGTAGATCTACCATGAAGGAAAAGAGGTAAGAGGTGTGTGGGAGGAAAATGTCCCACCTGCACTTCTGCAACAGCTGGCAGCTTCAGAGTTATAGATGGAAAAGATAGTAAAAAAAGTAAATTATGGACTAATGGAATCTCAGTTACTGGAGGCAAGATAGGAGGGAACCTATTGTATTGTACTTTCAAAAGACTTGTCTAAAGTTTGATATCTTTGCATGACATTACAAAGCAGTAAAACCTTGATGTAACAGATCCCCTTTGTAAAAGATTTTGGATATACATAATAACAAAAAGATTAGGTGATGAAAGATTGGATATCAGATTGGAGGGAGAGAGTATGGAGGAGGTGAATGTATTCAGATATTTGGGAGTTGACGTGTCATCGGATGGGTCTATGAAAGATGAGGTGAATCATAGAATTGATGAGGGGAAAAGGGTGAGTGGTGCACTTAGGAGTCTGTGGAGACAAAGAACTTTGTCCTTGGAGGCAAAGAGGGGAATGTATGAGAGTATAGTTTTACCAACGCTCTTATATGGGTGTGAAGCATGGGTGATGAATGTTGCAGCGAGGAGAAGGCTGGAGGCAGTGGAGATGTCATGTCTGAGGGCAATGTGTGGTGTGAATATAATGCAGAGAATTCGTAGTTTGGAAGTTAGGAGGAGGTGCAGGATTACCAAAACTGTTGTCCAGAGGGCTGAGGAAGGGTTGTTGAGGTGGTTCGGACATGTAGAGAGAATGGAGCGAAACAGAATGACTTCAAGAGTGTATCAGTCTGTAGTGGAAGGAAGGCGGGGTAGGGGTCGGCATAGGAAAGGTTGGAGGGAGGGGGTAAAGGAGGTTTTGTGTGCGAGGGGCTTGGACTTCCAGCAGGCATGCGTGAGCGTGTTTGATAGGAGTGAATGGAGACAAATGGTTTTTAATACTTGACGTGCTGTTGGAGTGTGAGCAAAGTAACATTTATGAAGGGATTCAGGGAAACCGGCAGGCCGGTTGGAGATGGGAAGTACAGTGCCTGCACTCTGAAGGAGGGATGTTAATGTTGCAGTTTAAAAACTGTAGCGTAAAGCACCCTTCTGGCAAGACAGTGATGGAGTGAATGATGGTGAAAGTTTTTCTTTTTCGGGCCACCCTGCCTTGGTGGGAATCGGCCAGTGTGATAATAATAAAAAAGAAAATAGACAAAATATTTGGCTGGACAAATGTATGATGCAACAGACTGAATCTGCTGTATCAAGATTTTGTGTGTGTGTGTGCGTGCGTGCCCCCCTGCGTGTCCGTCCATCTGTGTTCATGTCTGGTAGGCTTCCCATACAATAGATAGTCTGATGCATTGAGTTTTTGTCCATTAGCACTGGTGTGCATGCCTGGTAGATTCTTTGCACTGGGTATTTAAGTACAGCAGATTTTTTTTAAGCAAACACACCCTATCCCCTATTAGTCAGTTATACTGAGGTTTCATTCTGCTGTGTCTCTCAGATGAGTGAATTGTTTTTCAGTGGTTTCTAACTATAAATATTCACTAGGATAAAAGCATACTGGTCCCCTACCATGGCCAGGGTTTCTTGTATAAAGTACTTATTGATTAACCCTTTGAGGGTTTCGGCCGTACTAGTACGGCTTACGACCCAGGGTTTTTGACGTACTAGTACGCCTAAATTCTAGCGCCCTCAAATCTAGTGGGAGAAAGCTGGTAGGCCTAATATGAAAGAATGGGCCTATGTGGTAAGTGTGCACAGTATAAAAAAAATCCTGCACACACAGTGCATAATGAGAAAAAAAAACTTTGACCGTTTTTTTGGAATAAAACAGCGACTTTGCACTGTATTTTCGTATGGTATTTATTGTTGTATTCTAGTTTTCTTGGTCTCATTTTTTAGAATGGAAGACATATTACAGAAATTGAGATGATTTTGACTGGTTTTACAATGAAAAGTACCTTGAAATTGAGCTCAAAGTAGCAGAAATGTTCGATTTTTACCAAAGTTCAAAAGTAAACAAATCATGCCAAGCGTCCAATACACATCAACTGGTGAGTCTAATATTCTTTCGCAAGTACACCAATATTATTTATACCATTTTTTACACTAATGCAGTAGTCTGCATAACAGTAAATCTTTTATTTTTTGTGAGAATAAAAATTCAAAGTGGAAAGCAAAAGAATGTAAGAGCGGCCTTGAGACGTGACTAATGAACAGAGGAAATGTCATTTTAGTGCCAGGAATGTCTTTCTTGTTTATTCTGGACCCTATTCGGAAATTGTCATTTTTTGAAATTTGTGTGAAATTGGCAAAATTGCTAAATTCTGACCACTGTACTGGATAGTTGAAATTGATAAATGGGTGGTTTCTTGCACTCATTCGATAGAAAAAATGGAGTTCTAGCGAAATATTCATGTTTTTTGTCGACTAGTACAGTGGAATTGGCCCAAAATGGGGCTCAAAGTGGGCAAGATCGCCGATGCATTAACATCACCGAGACCGCTAACTTCACGAGAGCATAATTCCGTAAGTTTTCCATCAAATTTCAAACTTTTGGTGTCATTATGACCGGGAAAAGATTCTCTATCTTTTCATAAGAGAAAATTATTTTTTTTTTAAATTTGGCCGACCCTGAGAACGAGTCTCGAAGAGGGCCTGTCGACCCTCAAAGGGTTAATGCTTGCAACTTGCAACACTATGTTGTTGTGTCACTTTGATTTCTCAGTCATGGAATGTCTACTTTTAATTTCTGAATTTCTTGACTTTGTTTTCTTGATGACATTCTACAGTTTTTTGCTAAAATAGGTCTTCCTCTACAAATCCTAGACAGAATGGTGGGGTCAGAATTTATTAGGAAGATAGCTCCTCTGGATGGTAGATGTGTTAACATGCTCTCACCTCAAGAGCTGCTCCCTTTGTTATTATGGTAGTTGGTATCAGTGATGAAGGAAGTGTCCTCCAGGAAACAGGTAAAGGTAAAGCTGGTTCGATATTACTTTATACAGTGTTGCTGTAAAATCTCTATTACTCCATGGTTTATAATACAATATTGAAATTTTATTAATTAGAATTTTGTTTCAAATACTACACGATAAGGATACATGATAATTAATAGTTACTATTATTAGTATCATTATTAATGTTATACAAGATGGCAGCAGCTGCGGCTGCTGCTGCCGCTGCCGCCGCCGCCGCTGCTGCTGCCACCGCCGCTGCTGCCACCACCGTCACCGCTGCCTCCCCTCCCTCCCCCCCCCCCAACAAGTACATGCACAAGGTATACAGGCCTAACTGACATCAATGATGTACTACTATATAGAAAGCCCCTGGTTATGCAGAGCATTTTGGGCAAATTAGGTCAATTTTGTCCCAGTATGCTACCCACACCAGTCGACTAACATCCAGATATCCATTTTACTGTTGGGTGAACAGGGACAGCAGGTGTCTTAAGGAAACACATCCTAATGTTTTCCAGCCATACCGGGGAATCGATCCCTGGACCTCAGTGTGTGAGATAGTGATCGAGCTACGGGACACCTAAAGGGATTCTGAGAAATCTGTTAGCTAGACTTGAGTCCTGGGGTTAGGAAGGGCAGTGCCTGGGGATGTTGCAGTTAGAGGGTAACCTGAATGTGATGTCAACACACTCCTGGAAAGATAGCAGGAGATAGCTGTTGGGTTGAAAAAAGAGCCTGATGGAAAAGCTGAGAGCATTCAGAAGCATAAAAGTGGAGTAAATAAGAGCAGCCTCATAAGGGCATAATGAGAGATCAGAATAAATTATTAGTGTTAAGAAGTAGTTGCTTTGAATATTATTAGGTATTTTACATGTGAAGTACCTGCAGGTGGTCTAATGGATACCATGGTATTTTTTTTTTAATCTACTAACACCCCAATGCTTTTTCTATGTGAACTTACAGAAAATCATTTAACAAGATTATTGGTATATTTTTCCAGGAGTGCCAATCTTCTTGCTGTCAATGCTGATGGCAACATGCCATATGATATATGCGAAGATGATGCCACTCTTGATTATATTGAGAGTGAGATGGCTCGTCGTGGGGTCACTCAACGACTCATTGATGAGACCCGGTCTGCCACTGAGACATACATGCTCAATGATCTGAAGAGCATGAAGAGTGAGGGACAAAGCCTCATGTTTCGTGACCATCAAGGAGCAACTCCAGTATGTGTTTTGTCCTACATGTATTTCTTACCATTTTCTTATTTTATGCTTGACTGAAGTATCTTTATACGTATATATATTTTCTTCCTCTTATAGATGGCTTAAGGCACTAAATGTTCAACTTTACTAAGCCTTTGTAGTTTTGATTAAAAGAGTTATAAAAATGTTGAATGTATTGTAGTTAAAAAATTCCAGTTTATGGTTCTTAATCCCCCCCCCCCAAAAAAAAAAAAATTGATGGCATCAGGGATTTTTTAATACATTAGTGTACATCTGTTTTATTTTAAATGCTATTGATAACACTTCTAATATTATACATATGTTTTCTAGACATAAAATTTCTTAAAAAATATTGATGCATTTTAATAAAATTCAGTTTTGTAGCTCATATGTTTGTGATAGACATACAGAACTGTGTGTACTTAATGTACACTACATGGATTAATTCCTAAATGTATGTCTGGTATGATCAGCTTCACATAGCAGCAGCCAATGGGTATGTCCGAGTGGTGGAGTACCTCTTGAGTCAGAATGTACCAACTGAAGTGAGAGATCACGATGACTGGTCACCTCTTCATGCAGCTGCCTGTTGGGGACATGTAAGTTAATCTTTTCTTTTTTTTTAGGTCATAATGAGTGACTTCTTAAAAAGACATCTTTTGAAAGTTTTGTGAGCTTAGTGAAGAGAAATCCCACTGAACACTTCCTCTTTCAATGCTGCCTCCTTGTATTTTCAGTTCTGCAATTAGGCCAGAAGTATTGAGTGCATCATTGATACCACTAAACACTTTATCCAGTACAGTAATAAGACTTGTGAGTTTTGTTGTTCAATTTTGAGTTACAGTGGTCAGGGAAAGTGGATTATTGCTACATGACTACATACATTATCTTCTTTCAACAAACCGGCCGTGTCCCACCAAGGCAGGGTGGTCCAGAAATAAAAATAAAAGTTTCTCTTTTTAAATTTAGTAATGTATACAGGAGAAGGGGTTACTAGCCTCTTGCTCCCGGCATTTTAGTCACCTCTTACAACACGCATAGCTGTTCCCATCGAGATAAGTGGAAATAAACAAGAACTAGTAAGAAAATAGAAGAAAACCCAGAGATGTGTGTATACATATACAGTGGTCCCCCGCTTTTCGTAGTTCCCGGCAGTCGTAAATTTCGCCAATCATAGGGGTATTTTCGTATAAACATGGACGCGCTTTTCATAGGTTGACTCGCGAGTCGTAGTTCGTCCAGGACGCGTACCCATGGCGTGAGCCGGGGCGGCAGCCAGTCTGGCATTGTTTACCAGTGAGCGAAGGTCCCCTCATGTGCTCCAGCAAAATATTTCATAATACAGTGGACCCCCGCATACCGATGGCATCACATAACGATTAATCCGCATACCGCTTGCTTTAATCGCAAAAATTTTGCCTCGCATACCGCTTAAAAACCCGCTCACCGATTTTCGTCCGAGACGCGTCCAATGTGCGCCCTCAGCCAGCCTCACATGTGCCGCCCGTGCCATTGTTTACCAGCCAGCCTCCGCGGTAACATCCAAGCATACAATCGGAATATTTCGTATTATTACAGTGTTTTCGGTGCTGTTTCTGGAAAATAAGTGACCATGGGCCCCAAGAAAGCTTCTAGTGCCAACCCTACACCAATAAGGGTGAGAATTCCAATAAGAAATGAAGAAGAGATCATTGATAAGTATGAAAGTGGAGTGCGTATCGCCGACCTGGTCGGTTTTGTAAAAGAAACCCCAATCAACCATCGTACTTTGTGGGCAAAGAAAGGCATCAAGGAAGTGTTTTCCCAAGGTTTTAAACTGTTTTTTTGAAAAAAAGATCGCAATGATGGAGATTTGAGAGACTTTATTGGTGTGGATAAAATAAAAAACAGTAGCGGGAGTAGGTCTCTCAGCGTTTCATAAGCGAAAAGGTGGGAAAGTTGTTGGGATTTAATTAAAAAAATCCCTGAAAACTGGCTGGTGAGTAAATTTTAAAGGGCCCAGCAAAGGTTGGTTTGAGAGTTTTAAAGAAGCGTGTGGCATAAATAGTGTGAAAAAAGGCATGGTGGGCTGCCAGTTCGGACCAAAAAAGCGGCTGAAAAATTGTGCTGATTAAAGGAGTCATAGAGACTGAAGGACTGAAACCGAACAAGTGTTTAATTGTGATGAAACGGCCTGTTTTGGAAGAAAATGCCAAAAGGCCCAAATTACTCGGGGGAAAAAGGCACCCCCAGGACATAAGCCTTGAAAAAGGCTTACTTTGTTGATTGTTCCAAGCTATGGTGATTGCAAAGTTAAGCCTTTTTTAGGTATCACTCTAAAAACCCCCCAGGGGTTTCGGGCAAAGTGCCCTCAAGGAGAATTTGTGTTTTGCTGTGGAGGGCAAACATTAAGGCGGGTCATAGGGATTTTTCTATGATGGTTACCCCCATGATTTGCCCCATGTGAAAGATCCTAATGAAAAGAATTGAACTTAAGTGCCTCCTGGTGTTAGAAATCCCCCTGGCTTTACGAGTGGCGAGCGCTTATGGGGGCATGAATTCATTAACATCAAGTTTTTGCCTCCTAATACCACTCCTTCCTGCAGCCCCTGGACCCGAGGTTATTGAAACTTCAAAAAAAATGTACAAAAAGCTCTGTTTGAAAGGTGCTTTGTAGTGACCAGAAAAATCAAATGACCTAAAGGTTTTGGGAGGCACTTTAAACCTCAATTGTGTAAACCTTTAGGTAAAAGGGTTGGGAGGGGAGTGACTAAAAAAGACCTTGAACTTGCTTGGAAGAAACTGTGGCCAAATGTTAGACAAAAAGGGGTTTTGAAGGGTTTTGAGGCTAACCCTGAGGGATTATGCCCGTGAGGAAAACCTTGTGGCATTGGGAAAAATCCTTGGGGTTGGAGGTTAGTGGGGAGGATGTGGAAAGAGTTGGTGGGGAGGACAATGAAGAAATAAACCCTGATGGTGAAGTCAACTTCAAAAGCAAGAGGCCGATGAGGAAATGGTTAGAGGGGGGAGAGGAAATTGAAGAAGTTGCCCACTACAAAGATTAAAGGGAAAAGTGTGCAAAAGTGGCTTGAAGTGCAACCTTTTTTGATGAAAATACCCTCACAAAGCTATTGCAAACGTGTTGGCAACCTGTTTCATGACAATGTTGTGAAAAACTTTAGGGAAGTCTAAAGGAAAGAGAGGTACAGGCCCTAGGACAGATTTTTTTTGGGGGAAAAAAAATCAGTGATCTGAAGGGTCTAGTGGCATTAAAAGAAGAAAGGAAAATAACCCCAGAAAAGGACTCGACACCTCAAGTCTTAATGGAAGGGGTTTTCCCCTTCTAAACACTAAACACTCTCTCTCCCCTCCTCCCATCCCATCAATCATCACCAGATTTCAAAAAAAAGTAAGTGTCATGTAAGTGTGCATGCCTTTTTCAGTTTGTGTTATTAAAATTAACATTTCATGGGGTTTAAAAATTTTTTTTTTCATACTTTTGGGGTGTCTTGCAGGGAAATTAATTTGATTTCCTTTTATTTCTTATGGGGAAAATTCATTCGCATACCGATTATTTCGATAACCATGACCCCTCTTGCACGGATTAAAATCGGTATGCGGGGGTCCACTGTATTCCATTTATTTTATTTGCTTGCAAGTACTAAATAAGCTACCATGGCTCCAAAGAAAGCTCCTAGTGCCAACCCTGGGGTTTAAAGAAGGTGAGAAATACGATTAAATTTTAAAGAAAAACCATCATTGAACAATATGAAAGTGGTACAAGTGTGGCCGAACTGTCCAGGATGTATAAAAAACCCCTACACAACCTTATGTTCCATAGTGGCCAAAAAAAAAGAAATCAAGGATGCTGTTGTTGCAAAGGGGGTAACTATGCTGACAAAAATGAGATCACCAGTACTCGAAGAGGTTGAGAAGTTATTATTGGTGTGGATAAATGAGAAAAAATTAGCAGGAGATACTCTTATGACTTCGATTATTTGTGAAAAGGCTAGGCAATTGCATGAAGATTTGGTAAAGAAATTGCCTGCAAATAGTGGTGATGTGGGTGAATTTAAGGCCAGCAAAGGCTGGTTTGAGAGATTTAAGAACTGTTCTGCATACACAGTGTAGTAAGGCATGGTGAGGCTGCCAGTTCGGACCACAAGGCGGCTGAAAAATATGTGCATGAATTCCAGGAGTGCATAGAGGCTGAAGGACTGAAACCTGAACAAGTGTTCAATTGTGATGAAACAGGCCTCTTTTGGAAGAAAATACCAAAGAGGACCTTCATTACACAAGAGGAAAAGGCAATGCCAGGACACAAGCCTATGAAAGACAGGCTGACGCTAATGTTCTGTGCTAATGCTAGTGGGGATTTCAAAGTGAAGCCATTACTAGTTTTTACCATTCTGAAAATCCCAGAGTGTTCAGGAAAAACAATGTTATGAAGAGTTAAATTGTGTGTGTTTTGGAAATTAATAGTAAGGCATGGGTCACGAGGGAAATTTTCGTTTTAGTGGTTCAATGAAGTGTTTGGCCCTAGTGTGAAGGAGTATTCCTGGAAAGAAATTGGATCTCAAGTGCCTGTTAGTAATGGGCAATGCACCTGCTCATCCTCCAAACTTGGATGACCTAATTTTCGAGGAGTTTGGGGTTTATCACAGTAAAGTTCTTGCCCCAAATACCACTCCCCCTCCTTCAGCCCATGGACCAGCAGGTCATTGCAACTTTAAAAAACTCTACACAAAAGCAATGTTTCACAGGGGCTTTGACTGTGACCACAGACACTCACTTGACCTAAGGGAATTTTGGAGAGAACACCCTTTAGCATCCTCCATTGCATAAACCCTTATAGGTATGGCTTGGGAGGGAGTGACTACCAGGACTTTGAACTCTGCCTGGAGAAAATTGTGGCCAGATTGTGTCGACAAGAGGGATTTTGAAGGGTTTGGGACTAATCCTGATGAGCCTATGTCTGTTGTAAAATCAGTTGTGGGACTGGGGAGTTCCATGGAGTTGGATGTGAGTTTGGAGGATGTGGAAGAATTGGTGGAAGACCACAACGAAGAGCTGACCACTGAGGAGCTGCAAGAGCTTCAGCAGGAAGAGCAACACATCGCAGCTCAGAATCTTGCTGCAGAGGAGGAGGAAGAGAGATGGAAGAAGGTGCCTTCTTCAGAAATTAAAGAAACATCACCCTAACAAGGTTGTTGCAAGCCAGGTTGGCAACATGTACAGTGACAAAGTCTTGGGCCATTTTAGGGAAGTGTTAAAGAGACGCCAGAAACAGAGCTCTCTCCACAGTTATTTTGTGAGACAGGACTCCAGTGACTCTCAAGGTGGTCCTAGTGGCATTAAGAAACAGAGAAGACAAGCAACCCCAGAAAAGCAATTGGTACATGAGGTGTTGCTGGAAGGGGATTCCCCTTCCAAACTATAAACAATCCACTCTCTCTCCTCCTCCAGTCTCCCATACACTAAGAACAATCTCCAATAAAGGTAAGTGTTACACTGTTAATGTTTCATTCATCATTTCCCATTGTATTGTTTATGTACTACATGTGTATTTCATGTAAAAATTTTTTTGTTTTAATACTTCTGGGTGTCAGGAACGGATTAA